CTTCTAAAATGGATCTGACTGACCATATCAAAATACAGGATTCTGTCAATTTTTTCAAAAGATTTAAGTCATAAATAGTTGGCATATTTATGTTTGTTCACAAGCGTTGTAAAATTAAGCTTACATTATGTTAACATTGAATCTCTAATTTTACTATCAATTCTACGAACAAGACTTTAAAGTCTGGTCTTAGTATCTAGGTGACCAGTGTCAAAAAATTAAATTTTTCTCATTTGAAAATTAGATTTTTAGGTGAATAAAGTTCAGTGAGTTACTCGCGATTTCGGGTTTCTAATGTTTTTGTTCGGAGAACAATATCTAGCAGCGTTTTGACTATCATTACTATTAAAGAATATATTTATCAAAGTAGTTATTTACATAAACGAAGGAATGTACTTTAGTCGGTTTGGCAACAACTTGAATATATTACAAACCATTTTATGTTCAGAAGTGTTGGTTTTTCTTAAAAAAATTATGCATGGATACTGTCTATTCAAGAGTATCTAACACACAGTATAACTAAAATGTTTATTTGTGCCTGTTGATTTATGTTTCAGTTTATTCTGCTGACATTGTAGTACAAAGGTCATTGTTATCTAAATGAGATTTTGTAAAAAGACGAGTTATAATAAGGGTGTTTAGGTGAGTTTGCTCAAGAATAGATTTTTATCAGTTCTTAAGTTTATGTTACTGAATGATGACTGCTTGATATGATAATAGTTAACCGCGAGAATCATTACGTAGATAGGGAAGGATGTAACTGACTGTGAGCTAGTTTACCATATTTGTTAAATTGTTGACAGAAAAAAGACGGCTCATAATTCAAATTTCTTCACTAATACTAATACGTTAGATCAAACGGCAAAATTGTGCACGCAGGAAAGCTCATAGACTCATTCCAAATGAAAGAGGGTGTTAGGCGGAAATTCTACTGGTTTAATAAAACGTCATAATGTGTGGTTAGGCACCTGATACAACAGACAACTTGAATGGAGGTGGATCTGGTGGAGATGTAAAGGCGAAGATCGGAGAAGCAGAGTCAAGGCATATACAATTGGACAGATATCTGCTACTTAAATCACCTTCCATTCAACACCGAAACATACGTCAACACAGTTCAACTGTTTAGGACAGAACAATGAATAATCACGAAACACTATAACTGGAGGTTAGAGTGTTGATAACCTATTGAAGCGTCACAAAACAAGCCTTTATTCGCAAGATTCGATGCCAAATATAATGAGGAAGTGCGTTTGACATATCTTGACGAAAATTCAAGACAGACGTGAGAAAAATGATTAGCGAATAGGTAAAACCTGGAAGGAGGTCTTGGTACAGAGTCGGTTCAAGCATGTTATACGTCAGTCCATTCTCTTTTGTGAACAACAAGTCAAAATTTTATTACTTTTATTACTGATCTTTATGTCATTTTCGAGCAGTATTTGATAAAAATCAACCTTTTCATTGACAGACATTGTTGCAATTTGACCACGTTTATATATATTCATAAATTTCGGCTGCAAAGCATTTCTCAGTAATGTAGAAAATAATCATTTCAAAAATCAAGGACAGAATATCATTCATGTTCACATTTCCGAACATGTCAAATTATATTGACATTTCACTGAAAAATTGAAATAAATGATGTTATTATTTGTGACAGGTTGAGTATAACATAAATGTGTGCAGCCGCTCAAAGTAATCAATGGACCTGCAGTTCAAGCCGTACATTGAAAAATTTACCGAAACCTGATCGTCTGCTAGTTATATCATCATACACGAAAAAAGTACTCTGTGGTTTCAAATTATGATTATTGGTGATTGCAGGTTCTCATTCTAACTACAGTACAAGTGGCCGTCACATCTCTCATTGTAGTCATCTCATCTATATTGTAAATTTCTCGATAAACACTAATGACATTCTTTCAGTATAGCGGGAAACAATTTATCTTACGATTATTTGACTGCACAGTTACTGATTGCTGTTCTATTTGCGTGAGTTTTCAGTCATGATTTCAAAATTATTTCTCATCTGTTTTATAAACGAATCAAGTTAGAGTCTTCGATGAATAACCAAAATATTTAGGATTCGTAGTTTTCTATGAGTCAACATAGTGATTCTAACAAATATTCACTGACTCATCATATATTTGACTGCGATTATAGTGACGAACACAGAACAAAAGTTGATTGTGAAAGTTTGAAAATTTCAAAAGATATATGAGTTTGAATCAATTTTCTCTATCTTATAAATATGCAAACTTGGTATTGTATTTTACCATCTTCTCTGAATGGCCTAATTGACTTCACAGTTCCATGTAAAATGGAAGTATAAGAGCTGCTTACAACGTAACAACATCGTGTATGAATGATGGAGTGTTCAATTAAACAAATCCTTCTGTCCATTTCCGCATAATAAACTTTGGTCATTTACGTTCAAGCGGTAGTAATTATAAGAAGCAAAGCACGAAGAAATTTATTTCATCCATTCATTCAAGCAGTAGGCGAGTGAGCCTACTCTCCTGCGTTAAAGCAATTATTGTAGTCGGAGAATGAAAATTAAGTCATATGATAAGCTATTGAGCACCCACACACAATCAAGTCTATAAAAATCCATATTTTAATCGAGACGTATTTCGTATAATTTGAATTACTAAAGGTTATAGTTACAAAACTTATCAACTAGTGAGGTCCTTAAATATGTTACATTTCCTCATATAACTCAAATAAGTCACGGTGTATTAAAGGAAAGTATTGTTTATAGGGTAATGAAGCTGTTGTGTTCGTACTATATATTTATATATATCAGAGATGATTAGAATTCCCCCTCATTTAATATTGATCTCTTACTTTTATCGCATGTGACAAGGTGTAATGATAAATTACGCGACGTTATTTTGTTTTAGTCAATAATCTCTTATCAGTAATAGATTGTTAAACCAAACAAGCATTTTAGACATTATTCAATACATTCATCAGTGACAGATATTGTGTTAGAAATCGTAAGTATCATTATAATTTCATTGTGATCAAAGTCACTCTATTCCTTTCAAGTTGACTAGGTCAGTCGATATTGAAAAAAACATGAATTGATTATTACAACCTTTAATCACACGCGATTTTTTCGTCAACTCAAGCTTTTCTGATTTTCAATAGTCTTTTCAAGTAATATGAATCGGCATTTCGCTAGATTACACCATCTTAAGTCCGAAATTCAGGGGTTCTGATTCCAACAAATAAATAAATACGACAAAGGGATTAAAAATTTTCGATAAAAACAAATCGTCTACACCGATTATTATACACCTCATCATGTTAATTTTCCATATTCTCCGTAAATATGTCAAAATGATAATCAAATCAGTTTGGAAACAATTTTGAGATTGAAAAAAGTGACAAAAAGACAATCATTTCAACTCATTTAGAATCAGCAAATCCATATTTTTTTGTAAATCAACGAAGTGTCATTTTCAAATTATTCTTTGTTCGCATATTCAAATTATATCAGATACATTTCTCTTTCATTTTGCATATTACACTTTATTGATTTTTGTTCTGTTTTGTAGATCGATCGCTTTAGCGATAGCGATAGTGATTGTGGCTCTCAAGAGGTTCATCAACAATTATATTTTGAACGTCGTATTTGTGATAATTTATGTAAGAATCACTGTCAAGTGTTCAATGATCAAGACTGTTTATCTCTTTTGTATTAGATTGGGATTATTGTATACCTGAAAATGACTGTTTTTTTGAGACACGGAATTTCTTTCGTAACGCTGAATTTTTGACCGTTTATCAAAGTGCATGAATGTTAAACAGAATAGTTCGAGACACAGTACTTTATCAATGAATATTCAGCGACTGAGCGCATGCGATCTCAATTCACTGAAAAAGAGCAAATACACGATCATCATTACAACGTTTATAACTCGGTTTTTCAAAGCTGCGGAAGCAATCCTGTTTCATTCCGACTTTATCCAATTCCTAGAACCTGGTTTTCGGAAAGAGAACTCGATATGCTAAACAAACGGTTTGAGTTTGATGCCAGAATGCTGCGATTCTAACTCAAAAACTTATTTTCATATGAATCTGAAATTCAAAAGCGATGATACGGCTTACATTCTTGAAAATTCTGTGTTGTATGTTCCGGAATGCACATGTTCCGTCCAGCATGTCTGTGATAATTATTCACTGTTATATAGTTGTTTGACTTTCTGTATGCCTAAAGCTCGCTCTCTTGGAAGCTTTTATATATAGCTCTATGTCTAAATGTTTGCCAGAGGCTGGTACGTTTGGCCTGAGCATGCGATTGCATTCATAACGAACTAGTGAGTACACTACATTTGGCTTCGTTCCATTAAAAGGACCGTCGTTAGTAGGTGGATTTTTGAACATCTAAATGCTGCTAATCATTCTACTGATCTCTATTTTAATTTTTAACCTGTTTGCGGAACGTGATGGAATTTCCATAATATATACTGTTGTGATTCGCTGAAGCGAAAGAAGCTGTACCATGCCATTAAATGAAGTTAATATTGTGCGTGCACAACAGCAACTTGTCTGAAAGTCATCCTTATCTGCACAAAATCATTTTATGACTATTTCGGTTATATTTGTTTTTCATTGGTTTTCACTGCCTTCGCGTTTTAAAATAGTTCCATCCATCTCAATATGGTAAGGCTAAATCGCCTACAGGAATTTCATCTGTCCGAAAGTAAAATGGATTCCTCTCTGCCTCTTCAGGAAAATTGATCGAAAACTTTGATCATTTGCTAGCATTGAAATTTTTCAAATAATGCACAACACTGAACAGTATTTCCAAGTGAAATTATTTCTGTAGATCAAAAGATGTACTCTTAGGAAACCGAATGATCATTTATTATCTTGTAAATGGTATATAAACAGTAATAACAATCGATGATAATACACAAAATAACCAAACTTTCTTTATTATTTTTTAGTCCACTTGCACGGCTATAGTAATTGGAGTTTCAAATACAATGTTAGATATTTATCTTACTCTCGCCATTCCTGCAATCAGCTTGGTAATCTTCACATCTGCATTGCTGATTGGTGCTGTAATCAAGAAAAATTTAGTGGATAAATCAATTAATATTCTGTTCTCATTTGGTGTCATATGGGCTGTAATTGTAACCATTTCGATTGTAATCAACGCTGTAAAACAAATGGTATTAAAGTGATGTATATCATTTGCCTAATACGGCATTTCATTGCTTATTAAAGGTAGCATTTATTTGTCACATATCTAGGGTCGAAATAATCATTTGTTTCTGAGTCATTAAATCCGTATTCATGCGAATATATGAAATTTGAATGCAATGTGTCAAAAATTAGATTTTTAGGTGTGCGAATCGTTTGGGTTTCGACTACTTGCAGACATCATGTGGTTTTCGCCAATTTGAGGTTTTCGTATTTTTTCGTATTTGTACATAGCACCAGGAAATCGGCATCTTCCGAACATGACAGATGATCGTCTACATGTAGATTAACATCCTCACTTATATAACACTAGAAGAAATCGTTTTGACTACCGTATATCAAAACATAGAGGACAGTTTATCATCATCAATGCTGCGTAAGATCACAGCATCTGCGGTATTAATAGTGTATCAATTTGAATCCATTTATTTTTTTAAAATGATAGTCACCACAGAGTAATGAATAGAGCTGATCTCCGGTGACATCTGAGGCTGGTACATATGGACATGAACCACTTTTCTTAACACATACGAGAAACACAGGGATGAGTCAGGATTTCAAGGTGTCAACTATGACTTTTACACCGTATATTCAGCAAATATTAGTCATCATTTTCCTGAATACCAAATTGGCAACCTGTATTGTCAAACAAACATAAGTGAAAAGTAAATGTTCATCACCAAATTCTTATTCCTCTTATTTTGTGCTATCATGTTAAAGTTGTGTTCGAATTGTATACATGATTGATTTCACAAATATGAATATACTCAATTGTTTTTATTGATTTTCAGCGAGCAGTGATCGGTCTTGATGTTGTTGCACAAATATTATTATTTATTGTGAGTTGAATTTATCTACATTTTATTTCATACTCAAAGTGATTTTGAATAGAGTAAGAAGAATGAAGATTTGAGCTGAATGACATAAATTCATTTTCTATTTCGTTTGGTTCTGTTCAACTGCTTAACATTGCATTAGCCAGGACTTATTTGAAATATAAAGGCTGTTAGTATATTCTACAATCAGACATGTTCAATAATTAAATTAGATGTCGAAAAGCTCACTATTCATGTTTCCGCCAACTATTTCTGTAAGTTAATATGTACTTTTTAATGTAGGACAATGGCACACAACGGTGCGATCACTGAATATCTTTTGTGCACAGGGAATCAAAATGATACTTCGCAATATTGAAAATTGTTGATTGAACAGTCAAGATCAAGGCTTTTGACGGTTATTAAAACCGCTGCTTCTGTTGAGCGCCTGAAACTTCATTTATGTGTTCAAAAGGTGAAGGTTATGAAAATCTACTCTTCTTTCCACACGTTTCCATTATTGAGGGTTCATTAATTCACTGAACAAGATTTCGGTCATCTGTGCTTTACTCTGTATCGCTCTTTTGTTTTTGGTTTTTATTCATCATGTCTCCACCTTATTCAATCACTCCAGATATTATCAATGTCGGAAAATGTTCTTCTGCGTAATTATTGTATTTAAAATCTTTAATTTAGTCTACCTACCTCATCCAAAAACTTTTCATTCTGTACTCATGCCTGGTTGATCCAAATACAGAGTAAACTGTTTCGTGCAAGGAGTTGCATTTGAATTTTCTAATGTGACCGACTCTAAGCATCTGACGAGAACCTGAAGATAAACAATGAATTCATTTATTCATTTCAAATATTTAAGCCTCATCTGCGTATTTTACTTAGGTCCTGTAAGATTCCTATCGAGAATAAATAGTCTGTACGTTCAATGTTGTACTGATATATTCAACTTCATATAACTTGAATGTGACATGATTCCAGTGATGGCGCAGACTCATCCGGAAAATAACTTGGAATTGGTTATTGCTTTACATGCTTTCAATAATAAACTGTTGTGGAAGTTGGATCCCCAGAACTCTCTCGATAAATATCTTCAATTTGGAGTTATTTCATGGAACGATCAGTTGGCCTTGAGATCACATTTCCTATCAGAAAAATCCTTGTTTGTGATTGGTTACTGTGTCATTACAGTGTGCTCTCTTTTGACGGTCACATGGACGTATAAATAAACGCAATTTAAGTGCTTGACTTCGTTGTGTGCTGGCTGGGTGTTTATTGAATACAATTTCTACACTATTTCAAGACCTCATGTTGATTCAATTCAGTCAAGTGACCACAGTAGCCAACCTGGATGCTGGTTGTTTGATTTGTTCTCGTTATTCGATTAAGGTGATCTCGGTCAAGTTTAGGCATACCTAGATTGGTTGATCCGAATACCCTGCAAACTGTTTTGTGCATGAAGTTCCGACTTGTATTTGTGTATTCAAATGCCACGGGTTCTAAGCATCTGACGACAACCTCAAGAAAATCAACGAATTCATTTATTCATCTCAAATATATAATCCCTATCTGTGTATTTTATTTAGGTCCTGTAAGATTACAATCAGGAATCAAAAGTCTGTTCGATCAATGTCGTACTGATAAATTCAACTTCGTATAATTTGGATATGACATGATTCCAGGTATGGCGTAGACTCATCCGAAAAATAACTTCGAATTGTTACTGATGTCCATATTTACTTACTGACTTACGCCTGTTTCTCCCAATGGAGCATAGTCCGCCCACCACTATTCTTCGATCAACTCTGCGCATGGCTTTATTCACTTATTTCATTCCGCTAATATCATTATCAATTTATCGACGTAATGTGTTCTTTCGCCTTCCTCTTTTCCTTTTGGATTGAGTGTTCCAACTGGGAGCTTGTCTTGTGACGCAGTTAGGTGCTTTACGCGGTGTGAGTTATATCTACTTCCAGAGCTTCTTCCTGATTTACTACTACACTGGAATCTGATTTGTTCTCTACCAGAGTAGGTTGTTGCTGGACATGACTGGCAAACGAATCCGAAGTTTTTTGCGTAGATAACTGTTAATAAACACATGTATCTTCTGGATGATGGCTTTGGTAGTTCTCCATGTTTCCGCTCCATACAGTAGAACCGTCTTCACATTTGTATTGAAAATCCTGATTTTGGTTTTGGTTGACAGTTGTTTGGAGTTCCAGATATTGTTCAACTGTAGAAATGCAGCCCTTGCTTTGCCAATCCGTGCCCTCACATCTTAATCGGATCCACCTTGTTAGTTGTCGATGATGCTACTCAGATATGTAAAGGTGTTAACGTCATCCAAGGCATCTCCATCACGAGTGATTTGGTCGGTGCATGTTGTGTCGCATCGAAGAATTTCGCTCTTTCCTTTATGTATGTTGAGACCTACTGCTGCAGATGCTGCTGCTACACTGGTCTTCTTCTCTTGCATTTGTTGTTGAGTGTGCGATAGAATAGTCAGGTCATCTGCGAAGTGCAGAACGTCAAGCTGCGTTCTGACTGTCCAGTTGATACCGTGCTTCCCTCCATATGTTGACGTTTTCATAATCCAGTCGATGACCAGGAGAAAGAGAAAGAGTGAGAGTAAGCAACCTTGCCTGACACCGGTCTTCACCTCGAAAGAGTCTGTTAGCTGTCCTTTGTGTACGATTTTGCAGTTGAATCCATCATAAGAATTCCGTATGATGTTAACTATCTTCTCAGGCACACCGTAGTGTCGAAGAAGCCTCCATAGTGTTTTCCTATCCACGCTATCGAATGTCTTCTCGTAGTCGATGAAGTTGATGTAGAGTGGTGAGTTCCATCCAGATATTTCTCAACTGTTGATCGTTCCACAATGATCCGTAATGTTGCAATTTGGGAAGTACACGATCGATCCTTACGAAATCCAGCATGTTGGTCTCGAAGTTGAGCATCTACGAAGTCCGTCATTCTGTTTACCAATACCCTGTTGAAAACTTTGCCTGGTATTGAAAGAAGAGTGATGCCTCTGTAGTTCTCGCATTTCCCGAGATCTCATTCCTTTGGTATTTTGATCAGGTATGGTTATTTAAAATCTGATGGTTCTTGTTCTTCATCCCACATCTTCCTGAAGATGATGTGAAATAATTTCGCAGTTGCTTCCACATCTGCTTTCATTGCCTCCGTGGGAATCTTGTCTGGTCTTGTTAATTTGACACTACTGATTCTTCTGATAGCCATACTGATCTCCTCAACTGTAGGTGCGCCAATAGTAATTTGGAGGTGTGTGCTGCTCCGATGTTAGGTGGGTTAAGTGGAGCTGGAGTTTAAAGTGCTCTGAACAACTATATCTCTTTTCTTCAGCTTTGCTGATTAATTTGGCCCCTTGCTTTTTAATGATCGTTCTCTTTTACGAAAGTTGATTGCTGCCTTCTTGATCCTACTTCCTTCAAATTTTGCAATACTATCAACAGGCATCCAATCCTTCTGATGGTACTACTTTGTGGTAGGTTGAAGTGATTGACTCCTCGATCCCTTTCCAATTGTTCTCCAATGTTGCTTCCTCTCCAGTGAGCATATCGTGCAAGGCCTGGAACCTATTGTGAGGGCTATCTTGAATTCATTGAGTTTTACGGTATCCCGAAGAAAAACCGTATTAAACTTGTGTGATGTTGCCTGCCCCGTTATCAAGTATTTCATGAGTTTCAGTTTAATTTTGACGATCAGCAGATGGTGATCTGAAGCTATATCAGATCCTCTCTTGGTTCTCGCATGCTCCATGGTCCTTCTAAGCTTTTTATTGATAAAAATATGGTCGATTACATTCTGAGTAGTGTGGTCCGGTGAAATCCATGTAGCTTTGTGCATGCGTTTGTGTGGGAATATGAGGCCGCCTATGACCAGTTTGTTGAAGGCACAAAGGTTTACAAATCACTCGCTCTTTCCGTTCCTTTCTCCCAGTCTATGTCAACCTATAATGTCTTGATACCCAGTGTTGTCCATGCCAACCTTGGCATTCAGGTATTCCATCAGAATCGTCAAATTCTTTGGTGAACATTTCTCGACGATTGACTACAGCCTTTCTTAGAATTGATCCTTAACCTCGTCACTGTAGTCTTTGGTAAGTGCTTATCACT